GTCAGAGCGAAATACGTTCGAATAAAGTCCTTTATTATCAAACGTTCATTACAAAGTTGCAAGATACAAATAATAGATGCTCTACAAACTACAGTTAAAAGTAAGCTAATCTCCCGATCGATCGCCGAGTAAGAGGGTGGACTGGCCTCGCACCGCCTTCCTAAATGCATCGCTGCAATGGCGGGCAAAGAGGCTGAGAAGCACTCTCAGCAAGTAAGGTGGCCCGCAAGCATCCCAAAAATTGCCTTCTATCATCGAACTCCTTGTAAAGGATAAGAGACGATGGGAAGAACTTTGATGGGAAAAACTTTGCCGCTGGCAAAAAAATATTTCCTATACCTCCCATACCAAACGTGACATCAAGGCAAATAGTAAAATGGGCGGACCAAACAATCCATTTTTATAGAAAACGAAAGTTTTGGATTGATTGTCAGAATGGAAAACAATGGCAACAAATTGGTTTCGAAGAAGAAAATAAAAATGAAGATGGAAGATGGAAAGTGCGAAGCATACGTACATTTATAGGAGGATGGAGATGAAGAGACAGAATATGAGTAGCCACATTCTGCCTAGTAAATGGAATTAAGTAGCCCAAAATCTTGAGAAAAAGAGGTGGAAATATCAAGAGAAAATGTGCAAGATTTTTAACATAAAGCAGTTAAATGCTTGAAGAATTGGCGATTAAAAGACAAACGTCAAATAAATACACAAGGAGTTAACATATATGTTCATTAATGATGAACAAGGTTACAAAGGGAAAATCAAATGCGAAATTATAAAAAGAAAAGTTAAGGCGTCATATGTCTTAATTATAATCCACCCTATTCTGAACGAATTCGTTCCCTAAGTTTTTCCCAATTCTCGTTCTGCCGAGAGGAAGTGATGTTCAATTCGGCCACGACATCATCATCAACTTCCAGCTTCTTGTACTGCTCGACCAAAGACTTAGTTCGCTCAATTTCCTGGGAGGCGTTGTACTTTTTAGCAGTCATTCTCGCCTTTCAGTCGTCCATTTTGGCTTGAAGTTCCTTCATCTGAGCAGCCAAACTAACCATCAAAGAGTCTTCAATCATGACTTCGGAAGAGATTTCTTTCAACTCGTCCTCAGCCTTGTTGATCTCCAGACGCAAAGACTCTTTTTCAGATATGACACGAAGATATTGAGTACTTTTGGCCTTCAGTTCAGCATTCTTGGCCAGCAAGGAAAGGACCTTGGAATGGACAACTTTCAACGTCGCTTTAAAATCGGCAGAAAGATTGAGCGACGGAAGTGTCAATGCTTGCTCCAACTTCGCATTCAAATGTTCAAGTTTATCCTTATGTCTGGTAACACTAGCCTTACCAATGTCCATATCCATGAAAAACACGTATTCAAATATCGACTGCTTGAGGAACTTCAAATCTTCCTCTGAAGAAGTAGCAGAACGACCAGATGGAGCAGGGCGAGATGTCTTGATTTGCCCCCAAGAAGCGAACAGGTCTTGGATGGAACGCACAATCTTATCAGCATCCTGCAAGAAAAATTGCCAATACTGAAGATTCTCACTACAACGAACAAGATGGAAATAAAAGTGAAGCAAATATTACCTCATCAATAATATTGGAAGATGGCATATCCTCAGTCAAGGCTGCCACCTGTGGCTCCACCATTCGCGAGGACTTCCCCTTGTCTGAGCGAGAAGATGTTGCCACAATGGGCAAACTCATAGGAGCATCTGCAGAACTCAAAAGCAACAAATCAGAAACCAATAGCATAAGTAAATGTAAAGCATCAAAAAACTGAATTACCTTCTACTTCGATGTTTGGGGGGTTGACGTCCTGGGAAGAAGGTGGCTCATCCATTGGTTGTGATAAGGATTCTGGGACTGAAGATGTCTCTTTAAGCGTAGTCCCTTCATCAGCTGGTTTGGATGAAGCAGCCTCAGCGGAAGATGATGGAGCAGGAGCTGCCGATACCAAAACTTTTAAAGGAGAGACTGAACTTTTCTGAGAAGTCCAAATAAATTATCAGCACACAGAAAAGTTTCAAGTATGGAAAAGTATGCTTGTGAGTAAACCAATTTAATTATCTTCCTCCTGATGATAAGAGGGGTATCATCATCATTATCAACATCATCCTCCAGAATGGGAGATGCTGAGGCTGGCCGTTTGCGGCTTGGGGCACTTTTGGCTGCAATAGGCTTGGCAGGGAGAGAAGAAGATGGACGAGCAGACTGTTTAGCGCGACGAGGAGGAGAAGGACTCCGGATGGACAAAGGAGTGACTAAAACAGAAGGAGGGGAAGAAATGCTCGGCTAGTCCAGTGAATGAAAGGCACGATTAGCATCAATCGCAAACAATCTGCGCTTCACTGACGGCCAGAGCAGTTCAAAAAGGGGATGGATGGCATGGCTAGAATTGAAAGGGGCTAATGAAAAATGGCTCATCAAAAGAAGATTGCGAGCATTTATAACCTCTGCCTCCGCCTTATTGATAATATGGAAGCGGTCAATCAAGTTCCTTGAATAGCAAGGAGGAACATGCCAGGTTTAGCCGAAACCAAGTTGGCGAGCAAAAAATTGGGGAGCATATATTTCTACCCCTGCCTTGGCATTGGTCCCAGTCAAAATATCATGAAATAACTCCCTCCCGGTCAAGAACTGAATCCAAATGAGCAGAGAGGTACTCGCGCGGTCTATAGTAGAGGGAGAATACACATAGTCTGGAGTCAAAAAGGGAGGAAAAAGAAAGAATGAAGGGATTGAATCCAAAGAATAAAAGAATGAAAAAATATCCCTTCTAGACATATTTACAGGAGCCAGGGGCTCAATGGCTAGCCCATAACAGCTAGCAGAAGGACGAGAAATTAATGGAGCACTAAGCAACGGAAAATAGGATCTCAACCACATTTGAGTGAACCAAAGAGGTCCACTGCCAGTGGGTGATGCACCATTCTTCAATTGAGTTTGAAGAGAAGTCATGCCTCAATAGAGGGCAGCCAAAAAGAAAGAACATAAATTCAGAGGTCTGCCACGCGCTAATTCGTATGCTATGGGTAAATAGCTTAGGGAGAACTTTTTGCTTGGCACACACAAAACATATTTACAAAGTCAAACCAAAAGAAAAGTCACTCGCTCAGTATGGGAAGGCTCAGCGCTCGAATGGTTATGAAGGGCTTGTAGGCTTGAATAAGACTCGGTGTAGTTTCTACCAAACTTTAGGGCGCTACCAGAAACCAAGATACCAGGAAAAATGGTATCACCCAAAGGTGGTAGATTCACTAGGGCCCCAACATCCCTTAAAGTAATAGACATGGGGTCAAGAGGGAAAACAAAGGTATTATATTCAGAAGACCAAAAACTTAGAGCGATCGAAAAAAGTGCTGAATCAAAAGTAGGGAATTGAATAGAGATTTTTAACAAATCAGAAATTCTAGCATTATCAAAAAGTGTCTTAGTAGGACCATGGTCCACAAGGCGAGCATGCCACCTACGGAAAACTACGTCAGATTTGGGCCAAGTGCGAATACCTCTTTCGCGAAGTGGCCCCAGCGGCAGAGAGTTTAGAAATGGAGGGCCTTGAGTATAAGGAAACAGCTGGCCCACCCCCGCCTGTTCGACTGCCTCTGCATTGTTGAAGAAAGGACCTAGGTAGAACTCATTGAGTTCGACATTGGTGGGCGCGAGAAAGTTTGGAGTTATGTATGGACGACTCAAAAGTTTCTGAAAGTCATCAAAACTAAAGGAGTCGCCAGATTGAGATTGTGAAGTAGCCATTAGGGATGAAACGAAGTTTTTTCAGAGTTACGTAGTAGGAAAGCAAAAAGATGAACAGTAAATCGTGGAAGACAAATGCGAAAAAGTGAGGCGTGATTTAATGGTGCAGTGAAATGACATGTTTGGGGGTTATAAGGGTTTGCAAAACGTCGCACCTTTTCAAACTATGGAAGAAAACAATGATTGAAATTATTGAAAATTTCGAATGTTGCTGGAAACATAAAGTGAATATGGAAAAATTTAATAATTGGTATTAATTCTGCCATATTGGGGGGTAATCGTTGACACATAAAAAATTCAGCCCAAATCGAACGGCCCAAAGAATAAAGCCCAATTGGAGGATCCCCAAATCAGATAGCCCAAAGAACAAAGCCCAATCAAACAATTCAAGATGAATGCCCAAATAGGGAGGCCCAAGAACGCGGTAACACCATCGCCCAAGTTTGCAAGTCGCCCAGAATTTGAGCGAATGGAGTGCCATACAGTCGCCCAGAGCTGTTACTCTATTCTCGCCCAAACCTTCGAGTTGCCCAAGGTCTTAGCAAACACGAAATGTTGTGGTTATCAAGAAGTGCAGTTATCAAAGCAGTTATTAAAGCAGCCCTATCACGTTTCACGGTTCAAGGAACTTAATTGAAGACGGTTGAACGACAAAGAGTAATGGCAGCAGTTAGAAAAGGTAGTTCCATAACAAGTTGGCCATTACGAGGAAAGTGGGCAGTTATAGAACGATCCAGCAGTTTTTAGGCGATTGATCACAAAGAGATCATCCAGGGAGTATAAAAGGAAGGAAAGACATAGAGCAAAGGGACCGAATCCAAAACTCTCGAACAGAGAACATGTAATTTTAAATTTCTTAACTTAGATTTAAACACTCCTTTCAGTAACTCGTGTTCTTGCACCCTTTGGAGGCATTCTGTTTTTAATTTCCGATTGTAAAGTCACCGCCAATAAAGAACGCCCCTTTTTGGAACTTTGTCTCAAGAGGTTTGTCCCTTACACAATCGTCTGATCACTTTTTAATTGAAAAAAATGAGAACAATTTACTAATAAATTTAGACAGATAATAGATAAATTTATTCAAATCATTTTACCCCATTGATTTGTAATGTGAAAAATAAGTGGACATAACATTAAAACCTATACAAAAAGGGATTAGGTGGAAAACTTCCTGAAAAAAAAAAGAATGATACAGAAAATGTAATCCGTGATACACGCCCAAACAAATATCTTATCCCAGAAGAGCAAGACCAAGAAAAAGCCGCCACCTTCACCTACAATTTTATCATACAATGGGCAAAATCTCGAGCAAAAGACACTAGAAACTAACTGTAGAATTTTATATTTTCTCTACAAAATTTATTTGTAGGGAAAGACTCTTATTTGTGGGGAAATACCTTTGCAGACGAAAAAATCTGTAGGCACGTTTATGAGGCAAACATCGAGGGGATAGGTATAAGACGACAAATGTTTGAAGTTTGTGGGCTAAGATTTTTCCTAAGAACCCTTTGGAAACGAATACAATTCGTCGCCTAAGTTTTTCTCCAACAAAGCAATTTGTCTGCTAAAGTTACTTCTACACACGAAGCGATTTCGCTTGTCCCTACAAATTATCTTGTAGGCTAAATCTTGTTTGTCCCCACAAATAATATTTTGTGTGAAAAATCTATTTGTAGGCCAAGATATAAACATCTTTCCCTACAATTAAAAGTTTGTGATAACATGGAACACATTATTTTGTAGGTTGAACCCTATTTTTCTGCAAATAATTTTTAGTGGGAAAATAATATTTGTAGGCTATTAAAAAGAATTTGTAGGGAAAAATTAAACTATTTCTAAATTTTTTATTTTTTATTTATATTAAGCTATTTTTTTCTAACTTCATTCAAAATAATATAAAGATACAAAAATCATAATAAATCAATTAAAATGTACTGTCAATCAACATTGAATCCAAAATATTTCATCAAAACACGAATAAATGACGTTAACCAAGTATGATCTAAAGTTAAAATAAGCAGAGCAAACATGCTATATATCTATTGTTATGCAAATAAAAAACATGACTCTTCATTCTCATGAATTAGACATGTGCTGATTCTCACCGAAGTTATTCTCTTCATCCTTGATAGCATTATCTTTCTCATTACCATTATTCTCTATTGACAATGGTACAAATGGTGGTACAATAAAGTCAAGAACTTTATCACATAGTTGGTTAATAGAATAATGCCAAGATTGTAATGTAGAATTGAATTGTTGCTCAACAACTTTTAGCTTGTTTTGCATATTTTGCTCCATGTTTACTCGAGCTGCATTGGCTACCTTTCGAGCAACACGTTCTGCTTCCAACTCCTTCTCCAAATTGTGTACATTGGAAGAAGATATCCCAATGTCTCGAATGCGACCATCTCCTAACTCAATAATTTGACGCCCAGGCTTTGTACCTAAAACGGACATCATGATATTAATTCCGACATCAAGGTCATCTATCGATATCTCCTCCAAAGGAATCTCTTTGGAAAGTTACTGTTCCTTTGCCCTCTCTATAAGATATTCATGCTTTTTGACAAACATCTCATCCTACAAACACAACCAACAAAATATCTAAAACAATCCATAAAATCAAAGTTTGCAAGAGATAGCACAATTGTACACAAGAGATATTGCACAAGCTAAGAAATATAATCATCTCACAGAAACATTTGGACCATGATAGTGTCCGTTTCCAAAATAGCCCCATGAATAACATACAAAAATTATCATACTACTTAATCTAATTATAATTTTCTAGCATTTTTTAAATCTAACCTTGTAATATATATTTTGTGTATAAGATGGTAGATAAAACACGATAAAGAAAACAATTTTATAATGTTGAGTATTTCTTACATGTTGAGTTTTAGCTGCATTACAAGTCCAACACCTGTTCTTCACAACTTAAGCGAACTCAAATGTGTCGACTTCGAGAAACTTCGAACCATCCTAATAAGAAAAAAATGCTTGTTTCAATTATTATATTCAAATACGTAGCAAAATTATTTATTTATATCATGTTGATAACCAAATAAATTCACTACCTCGACCATCTTTTCCACTATGTAAGAGAAAGGACGTGAACCAGTACGATGATTGTACTTCTTCTTCGATCTATTCACTATGTTTGCTGATGATGCTTTCTGCAAAGAAAAATATATAGATATTACATAACAAAATTAGAAGTAAAAGCTCTGAACTGGTAATGAATTACACAATAAATATCTTGAACTTATTGGAGTTCAAATAATTACACAGGTCTACTCATTGATTTACACCTCTATCGAGCA